GATCTAGTTCTGGGTTTGAAAAAATGAGGGCATCCATACAAATAGTATTAAGTAAATGTAACTTCAACTAGTTTAACATTTCTTGAGATTAAAATATTTTTGTAGATCCCAGAATGACTCAAATATATTTTGTTTTATAGTGAAGTCTACATCTTACAGAGATACTGAGACTATTACATTTTGAAACCAGATAAAGAAAGTCAACTATGTAAAAATATTTAAGCTGAAATCTCCAACACTGTGATAAATATTGCAATTGCGGGATGTTGCCAGGTCATTTTACTTCATCACAAAGCCTACACTACAAAAGAAAGGGAGAGACTTTTAGCCAGGATTACTTACCCATGAAGTTGAGATAGCCCTCTCCTCCAAGCGCATGAGTAATGAGGCGAATCATTTTATGAAGCTGTATTCCACGATCAATAACCGGAGTGAGAGGTGAAAGCACACTCATATTTGTATACATCTCTGCATCCATCAGCCGAAATGCCAGCGTCTTATCACCAACAAGGGCCTGGAGTAATAAAGGAATTGGAGGGAAGAAGCCTTGATGTGCCAGAAGAGCTTCTTAATGTAAATTGATAAAAAGCAATGTGTGTTCTCGATTAAGTGACAAGTACATTGGATTAACTCTAGTGCACTGTAAGAGTTATATTTTAGGAGAATCATAAAGAAAACAAGACAGAAAATAAAGATTATAAAAAAGTTTCTTTTAACAACATTCAAAAGGCATATTAACAAGACTTCCAATTTAAAGATTCTTCAGTGAACAATGCAAATGCTTTATGTACACACACAGCTAAAGATACACAATTGTGTTTTTAGGCGTTTAGTCCAGACATAAAAAACAGGCTACAATTTCTATCCATCTGAAATCAGCAATTGAATGAAGCTATTAATTTTGTTCAATGAAGCCTAATTCAGTTACCCCTTAGTCTATGGTAGCAAACACTGCAAATGTTTTGTTCATTTTGCTAAAGTTTTCCATTTGACTTTTTCTGGAAACCATTTCAAGTAGATTTTTCAAGCTGGCTCACACATTTGCGTGATTTATTGGTCAAATAATAATTACAAACTCAGATTTTATACAACAAAATAAAATATAGTAAAAACTAAGAAGGAAACCAAAATGAGTATCGTAGTCAAAGTATTTACAATGTATTTGCTAAGACCAGGTCTACACTGGCAAAGAAAATCAATGCAAGACATGCAACTGAAGCTATGTGAATTGGGTAGCTGGAGTTGATGTACTTTGCATCAACTTTCTGAGTGGCCCCCATAATTGGAGGCTGATGGAGAAACTCTCCTGTCAACTTCAGTCGCGAGGAATTCTCAGATACCCTCAGCGTTTGATTTAGTGGGGCCTTATCAGACACACTAAATCAAATGCTAGAGCGACCACCAGAGCATCAATTTTCCTGGAAGTGTCGATGTGACCTCAACAAATGTTTCAGAGAACTAGGTTTCAGTTATTTTTTGCATATATTGTGTTTTATGTGCTACAATTTTCTTTTTTTATTTCCCCTTATGCAAGCATTGTATTTGACAGAATAGCTGTAAGAGGGACATGGTACTCAGCAAAATAACTAACATGATCTCCTATCTTATAAGTACAGTAGTGCAGAAGTGAAAAACAGCAGCCATAATAATATTTTGATTAAAAAAAAAATCAAAAAACCATTTTGTGCTGTATATAATACTACCCCAAAGTTACAGTATACTTGCAAGATATATATTACTTAAGTACAGCATTATTCCCATTTTACAGTTATGGAAATGGATACATACATAGATTAAAGGATTTGAAAAAAGTCAAAGGGGGAAATTCTGGCCTCACTGAAGTCAGTGCCATTTTGCCACTGATTTCAGTGGGACTCAGGATTTCAACCAAAGTGATTTAATAATAGAGACTAAGCATAGGAAGATCCCTTGCTGTTTCCACTAGATCAAGTAGTTGTTTCACAGTCCATAAAAATAGCTAATTTTATAGAAAGCATGTGAGAACATTTCAGCTTTTTATTCAAATACTACTAAACCTGCTGTTTCATATGCCCCCAAAGCTTTTGCCTCTACAGCTTGTTTTTGGTACACTATTTCTTTATGCATAGATGGCAGAAAATAAGCTTTTGCTTTCATCAAGCACTGATTCTTATTCGAGTAAATAGCTTAGCTGGAAAAAGAATTATCTGCAATCTGCTGAAGAAAAGATTATTTTACAAAAAAATTAAGTAATCTTGCTAATGTCTATTGCTGTATAAAAATAAGTCCCTTAATGCTGTGTAACCAAGTTCATTTTAGCACAGCTTTAAACTGCACATACAAAGACATATGCAAATATTCTATTTAGTGTGTTCACAAATAGGTATAATTTAGGCTGAATCAGTCCAATTCCCATTTTAAACTCTGTTTTGAACTTTTATTTTCTCTTTATACAACGCATTGAATAGTTTTTAAACAGTGCCATGTTGGAAAGCAAGCCATTTTTCCTTCAAATAAGTTCAGACTAAGATCATAAAATCAAAAGCTATCTTGGTTTCAGTATAAATGGATTTTCTTTTAAATGGCTGCCATCCAATTATGATTTTAAGACTGAAAACAAAAACACTAAAGCCTGAAATCTAACATACTAGGGAGAGTGTGTCATCACAAAAAATCCTGGTTATTACATGTGCATCACTAGCCACAGTTAGCTCAAATAAGTGTAGAGGGCATAACTTCACAGAAGATTTTTTCTGGTCAAATTGTGTATTAACTATAAAGTTCAAAATAAAACTACTTTGCTAGATGAAACAATACAATTAGCAGAGAGAGTGTGGTCCCTAATAAAGAAAAGAATTACAGCACGTCTACACTTGCTCCATAGTTCATACTAGGGATGCAAATGTAACCTACCGAAATTGCTAATCAAGCGGGGATTTAAATATCCCGCGCTTCATTAGCATAATCTTGCCCACATGCTATTCCGCTCGCTAGCTGATTCGAACCAGCAAGTGCGCTCTGTGATGCATAACGTTAGTTCGAACCAAGGGGTTTGATTCAAACTAATGCATCCCGGAGCGCACTTGCTGGTTCGAATCAGCTAGCGAGCGGAATAGCATGTGGGCAAGATTATGCTAATGAAGCGCGGGATATTTAAATCCCCGCTTGATTAGCATTTTTGGTAGGTTACATTTGCATCCCTAATTTGAATTAGGGAGCAAGTGTAGACGTACCCTAAAAGAACAAAGATATTTTATGTTCTAGGTTAAGCAGCTATTTTTTTCCACATCAAAATCCAGATGGAAATACAACTTCTAAAGGAACAAATAGCTACAAAAACCACAAGAGTGCCTTTTTCAGTGGAATCCACAGTCTGAATTAAGATTATTACCCCCAATTTTTACAGCACAGTGAGATACATCTTTCTGCAAAGCACATTATCCCACATTTAGAGTGCCCCTACTAGGGATGTTAAATTGTGGGTAATTGACTAATCAAACAGTCAATGCATTTTCAATCAACTAGTTGATAGGGCGTCTCTTCCTTTGAAGTGTAGAAACAGTCCTACGGCGAAAACGCCACATGGAGCCGAGGATCAGTTGGGGACTCCCCAACTGACTCCAGGCTCCGTGCGACACTGCTGCTTTGAAACGCCATGAGGAGCCTGACTTCAGGCTTCCGTTGAGCTTCAAAGTGACAACACTGCATGGAGACCAGGGTCAGCGGGCACTCTTCAGCTGATCCTAGGCTCTATGTGGTGCTGCTGCTTTGAAGTACTTCCTCCTTTCCCCTCTTGCTGTCTCTTTCTGATAGAGGCAGCAAAGGGTAGCATTTGCTTATTGGATAGTCAACTAGTCCTTCACATTCCTAGCCCCTACACCTCTGACTGTAGGAGCCAAAAGGAGAGTGGTGAATCACTCCAACATTTCCCCTCAATTCTGATACAGGCCACTGTTGGAGACTGGACATTGACCTGGACAGAACATTGGTGTAATCCTCTATGACAACTCTTAAGTTTTTCAAAAGAGGTAACTAACCAGAGATACTTAAAAGAACGTTTTCAAAATATATATGGACTAGCTAAAGCGTCTATCAAATTCTAAGAGTGTGTTTCCATTAACAATTTTTTTAAAATGAACATTTGTTGGATGAAAGACTCCAATGTGTCCTACAAACAGATGAAGTTTCATTTATGGTGGCTGCAGAAGGTATTAATATTTAAACAGTATTAATATGGTTGACCATTTCAGTATGTTCTTACTGGATACAAATATAAAAATAAATTGCTATACCCTGAGAGTCATATAATCTAGAGTGATCCAATCACCGATAAACAGATTTAACTGGAATGGTCCGTGTGAATACATGGAAGTTAAAAATGGAAAAGGCTAAAGACCACTATTATAAAAAAGAAAATTTGCATGCAAAAATCATGAAATTAAAAAAAAAAAAAAAAGACTCCGTACTGGACAAATTAACTTCTAACTTCAGTACAGGGCAAATTAGTCGAAACAATGGTAAAGAATAAAATTGTCAGGCATGTAGAAGAACATAATTTGTTGGACAAAAGTCAGCACGGTTTCTGTAAAGGGAAATCATGTCTTACTAATCTATTTGAGTTCTTTAAAGCGGTTAAACATGCGGACAAGGGGGATCCAGTAGATACAGTATACTTAGATTTTCAGAAAGCCTTTGACAAGGTCCCTCACCAAAGGCTCTTGTGTAAATTACATTGCCAATACATAAGAGGGAAGGTCCTTTCATGGATTGACAGTAAAGTTTATTTTGTTACTCCATTGGTCTAGGAACATACCTCGAGCCTTTCCACAAACCCTCTTGAATTCCTGTGCATGATGCCAAAGGCATTTACCAAAGTTAGGTTATTTCAGACCAAGAAAAGATCATGTTCTAGAGACCTGGAGTCCTCACCTACAATGCCCTTCCAGATGCCACTTGCCTCTTATTACAAAGGGATCCAGCTCAAAGCAGACTAAAGAACTTCAAAAAGATCTCACCAAACTGAGTGATTGGGCAACAAAATGGCAAATTAAATTTAATGTGGGTAAGTGTAAAGTAATGCATATTGGAAAAAATAATCCCAACTATATGTACAGTATAATAGGAGCTAATTTGGGTACGACAAATCAGGAAAGAGATCTTGGAGTTATTGTGAATAGTTCTCTGAAAACTTGCACACAGTGTGCAGTGGCAGTCAAAAAGGATGTTAGGAATTATTAAGAAAGGGATAGAAATAAGACGCAGAATATCTTACTGCCCCTTTATAAAACTATGGTACGCCCACATCTTGAATACTGTGTACCGATGTGGTCTCCTCACCTCAAAAAAGATATTTTGGCCTTGGAAAGGGTTCAGAAAGGGGCAACTAAAATGATTAGGGGTTTGGAACTGGTCCCATATGGAGAGAGGCTAAAGTGACTGGGACTTTTCAGTTTAGAAAAGAGGACACTGAGGGGGGATATGATAGAGGTACAGGCAGTCCCTGGGTTACGTACAAGATAGGGACTGTAGGTTTGTTCTTAAGTTGAATTTGTATGTAAGTCGGAACTGGCGTCCAGATTCAGCCGCTGTTGAAACTGACCAGCAGCGGCTGAATCGGACACGCCTGGGGCAGAGCAGCTGGAGTGCTGCTGGGTTGGTCTGGTAGCACCGACCCTTGGTGTGGCGGGACCAACCCGGCAGCGCCCCAGCTGCTCTACCCCAGGCATCATCGAGAAAAGC